CGGCCGCCCCGGCTGCCCAACGATACCGCATCACAAGCATCGAGCCCCCGCGTGCTGCGGCCGCCCTGATCACGACTGCCCTCGCCAGCCTCCAGAGGGTCACCGAAGCCCCCAGGGCTGGGCGGGACAGCGGCCCCGCAGGCCCCTCCGCCCCAGCGCGGGCGGCCAAGCCCCCTCCCAACAAAACGACACCTCGCTTCTACCCAGGGCGCCTGGGACGCCGTCCGCCAAGGCCAGCGTCCCGCTGCTGCCTCCACCACCGCGCTGACAGCCTCCGTGTCCGCCACCACCAGCTCCACCCACCAAGCGTGGCCCAAGGGCCGCCTGGCCTGCCCTGGCAAATGTCCGTCACTGTTGTTCCTTGAACGGGCGCGGTCAAGGAGGCCCAGGAGGTCCCGGAGGACTGCAAGAGGGCCAAGTAATGCAAAAACAAGTGATGGACCGATTGCTTCTGAGCGTTTCAACGTGCTCGCGTTTTCGGGCTTCCCGCGCTCCAGGACGGCTTCAGAGGTCCCAAGCTCGCCCCAAGACGGCCCAAGAGGCACCCAAAAGGCCTCCTTGACGGCCCAAAGATCCCAACAGGTCCCCTGAGAGGGAAGGAGAAGGCGCAGAACACGCGGAGAAATAGCAGTGGGCCCAGCCACACCCATGTAAACAGACGTCGGGCTGCCAGAAGGAACACGCAGAATGAGGAACGCAAGGGGGGGTCATGGCCACGGCGAAACTCGGCCACGAAAAAGGTTTACCGACTTTAGAGGCGTCCTAGACCTAGATGGGGTCGGAGTAGATGGCGTCAGAGGTTCGCGTCGCATCGGCGAAACATCGGCGATGCATCGCCGATGCATCGCCGATGCACTGGCGATGCATTGGCGACGTCGGCGATGCATCCGCGACGTCCGCGTGGAGAAACTCGGGCTCGAGGGTGGTTCTTAACCGTAAGCGCGGTACAAGATCAATGTACCAGACCTATAATGTACCAGCCTAACGAAGCATACACATGTACTAGACTATGTACCAGACTAATGTACCAGACTTATGTACCAGACTATTGTACCAAACTATTGTACCAGACTAATGTACCAGACTAGCGGCACCAGACTAGCGGCACCAGACTAGCAGCACCGCTAGTCTGGAACCGCTACCTGGTACATTAAACTGGTACCGATAGTCTGGTACCGCTAGTCTGGTACATTTGTCTGGTACATTAGTCCTGTACATTAACCTGGTACATCATTTTGGTACCGCTAGTCTGGTACCGCTAGTCTTGCACCGTTAGTCTGGTATGTCAGTCTGGTACATTAGTCTGGTACCGCTAGCCTGGTATCGCTAGTCTGGTACAAAAGTCTATTGCCACTAATTTGATACCGCTAGTCTGGTACCGCTAGTCTGGTACCGCTAGTCTGGTACCGCTAGTCCGGTACATGAGTCTGATACATCAATCTGGTACATTATTCTGGTACTGCAAGTCTGGTACCGCTAATATGGTACATTAGTCTGGCGCATTAGTCTGGTACATTAAGACTGGCACCGCACATTAGTCGGGCACCGCAAATCTGGTACCGCTAGCCTGGCACCATTAAACTGGCACCGCTAGTCTGGCACCGCTAGTCTGTCAACGCTAGACTGGTACCGCTAGTCTGGCACCGTTAAACTGGTACGTCAGTCTGGTACAGCAGTCAAACACCGCTGATCTGGCACCGCTAGTCTGGTACCGCTTGTGTTGTACATTAGTCTGGCACCGCTAGTCTAAGACCACTTCTCTGGTACCGTTAATATGGTACGTTAGTCTGGTACATTAGTCTGGCCACGCTAACCTGGCACCGCTAGTCTGGTACCGCTAATCTGGTACATTAGTCTGGTACCGATAGTCTGGTACTGCTAGTCTGGTACACTCAACTTGTACATTCGTCTGGTACATTAGACTGGTACCGCTAATCTGGTACCGCTAGTCTGGCACCATTAAACTGGCACGACTAATCTGGCACCGCTAGTCTGTCACCGCTAGACTGGTACCGCTAGTCTGGCACCGTTAAACTGGTACGTTAGTCTGGTATATCAGTCAAGCACCGCTGATCTGGCACCGCTAGTCTGGTACCGCTTGTGTTGTACATTAGTCTGGCACCGCTAATCTAGTACCACTTATCTGGTACCGTTAATATGGTACGTTAGTCTGGTACATGATTCTGGCACCGCTAACCTGGCACCGCTAGTCTGGTACTGCTAATCTGGTACATTAGTCTGGTACCGATAGTCTGGTACTGCTAAGCTGGTACATTTGTCTGGTACACTCAACTTGTACATTAGTCTGGTACATTACTCTGGTACCGCTAATCTGGTACCGCTAGTCTGGCACCGTTAGTCTGGCACGTTAGTCTGATACATTAGTCTGGTACCGCTAGCCTGGTACCGCTAGTCTGGTACATCAGTCTGGTACATTAGTCTGGTCTGGTACGAACATATGATACCGCTAGTCTGGTACATTAGTCTGGTACCGCTAGCCCGGTACATTAGTCTGGTACATCAATCTGGTACATTTGTCTGGTACCGCTAGTCTGGTACCGCTAGTCCGGCACATTAGTCTGGCACATTCGTCTGGTACATTAGCCTGGCTCCGCACAATAGTCTGGCACCGCTACCCTGGTACCGCTAGTCTGGCACCGCTAAACTGGCACCGCTAGTCTGGCACCGCTAATCTGGCACCGCTAGTCTGGCACCGCTAGTCTGGCACCGTCAAACTGGTACGTTAGTCTGGTACATTAGTCTGGTACCGCTAATATGGTACTGCTAATCTGGTATCGCTAATCTGGTACATTAGTCTGGTACCGCTAATCTGGTACCGCTAAACTGGTACCGCGAGTCTGGTACCGCTAGACTGGTACCGTTAGTCTGGTATGTTAGTCTGGTACCGTTAGTCTGGTACATTAGTCTGGTACCGCTACTCTGGTACACTAATCTGGTACCGCTAGCCTGGTACCGCTAATCTGGTACAGCAGTCTGGCACAGCTAGTCTGGTACCGCTAGTCTGGTACCGCTACTCTGGTACCGCTAGTCTGGTACTGCTAGTCTGGTACCGCTGGTCTGGTACCGCTAGTCTGGTACCGCTAGTCTGGTACCGCTAGTCTGGTACCGCTAATTTGGTACCGCTAGTCTGGTACCGCTAGCCTGGTACCGCTAATCTGGTGCATCAGTCTGGTACCGCTGGTCTGGTACCACTAGTCTGGTACATTAGTCTGGTAACGCTAATCTGGTACATTAGTCTGGTACCGCTAATCTGGTACCGCGGGTTTGTACATTAGTCTGGTACTACGCTTACGGTTAATAACCCACCGTTTACGGTTAAGACCTCCCGGTCTCGGGCTCCACATCGAGCCGTCTCGTTAATGCATCGGCGGTGCGGCGCGATCCTCCGTTTTCATCTACTCGGACCTCGTCTGGGAGGCCTAGAGACTTAGACCCAAGGAACTGCAGGGAAACCAGTGCGCCACTCCTGAGCCCAAAATGGTCCGTACTTCGGCGCCTCGGCTGCATGCGACCGCGTGGCTCGGAGTCAGGGAAGCGAGCTCCGTACACCGATGCTTTTTGTTCTGCCCTGCATTGAAATTTGCACAGGAAAGCGGATCCTGGTGTATACAATCGGGAAGACGTAAGACTCGGGTACGGGGGACTCGGGTTGGCCTGACGGGGCCATCATGAAAATGACGAGACCAAATCTGAAATCTGACGCGAACTCCCGCTGCAAACATCCCACGAAAATCGGACCGTCCAAATCCAGGACGCGCTCGTCAACAAAAACCTCGGCAAACCCGAGTTCTGGCTTATTCGAGTCTTACGTTCCCCCGACACGGGATCCTGGTGTATACATGTTTCGGTGCTTCACCAGAAACACGGAACAAATAAGAATACACCACACCACACCGACGTCGTCCCCGACCCTCAAAAAAGCTGGGATTGGAAAACAGCCCGCCACTGCTGAAGCAGAAAAAGCGGCAGAAGCATAAACGTTTGGCGCTCCGCGCGGATTTCTTGGATCCGCGCTGGACCCCCCTCCCTGGCGCGCGGAGCGCGCCGGGGGCGGCGCCGGAGGCGTTGCCGCGGGGGGGTCCCCGGAGGATCCAAGAAATCCGCGCGGAGCGCCAAAAGTGTATGTTTATGCCGTTGTTTCTTCTTCGACACTGGTAATGATCGGGAAGACGTAAAACTCGGGTACGGGGGACTCGGGTTGGCCTGACGGGGCCATCATGAAAATGACGAGACCCAATCCGACATTTGACGCGAGCTTCCGCTGCAAACACCCCCCGAAAACCAGAGCGTCAAAATCCAGGACGCGCTCGTCAAAAAACTTCGGGCAACCCGAGTTACTCGAGTCTTTCGTTTCCCCGAAATGACCATGTCGCGCCACGGCGACTCCGGGCGCCTCCCGAACCCGGGCGGCGCGGCAGGCTGCACCAGGAGTCAGCGCAAGCGGGGAGCACGGACTTGGAAGCCATGCAGACTGAAGGGGCCCCGGGACACACAAAGAAATACACACAGATAACCAGGTTCCCCATGTTTGCCCATACTTTGTGGGGGTCTGTCTTCCCCCCCACGTCCCATATTTTCCCATATATTCTCCTGGGGATCGACGATTAATTGTGTCTATGTGTTTTTGCCCCTCCTGACAAACACACGACGGTGCAGACGCGCAGCGCCACGGCACGGCGACACGCTGCCTCCCCAGGCGAAGTGGCATGTTGTGCGAGCGGCAGCACAGCCGGGACACCCTCGGGCGGGCGGCAGTGGGGGGGCCCAAACCGGGGGGTGAAGAGAGGGTCCCAGGGCCCCCTTTTTGGGGCACCAGCTGGTTCCAAACGGGGCCCCAAAGAGCCCCTTCACCCCCCATTACCACCCTGTTCTCCTCCTCCTCCTCCTCCGCCTCCTCCTCCTCCTCCTCCTCATCCTCCTCCTCCTCCTCCTCCCCGACACCCTCCGGACGCCGATCCAGGGCATCGGAGCGGCGCGGCCTGCTCCAGCTTCGTCGTGAGCAGGTTCTCGATGCTGCGGGTCGTCCAGGGCCACATCGTGTCGACCTCCGCGGGGAGGTCCAGTTTCGTGAGAGCTGCTATTGCCTTCCCCTTCCTCCTCCTCCTCCTCCTCCTCCTCCTCCTCCTCCTCCTCCTCCTCCTCCTCCTCCTCCTCCTCCTCTCCTCCTCCTCCTCCTCCTCCTCCTCCCTCTCCTCCTCCCTCCTCCCCCTCCCCCCTCCTCCCCCTCCTCCTCCTCCTCCTCCTCCTCCTCCTCCTCCTCCTACTCCTCCTCCTCTTCGCCCTCGTCATTCACTTCCACGTCGTCCTCCTCGTCCACCCCCTCGTTGAACTCCCAACCTCTCCTTTCTCCTCATCCTCCTCGTCGTCCTCCGCCTCCGGCTCATGATTTGCCTCTATTGTTCCTGCCCCCATCTCTTGCCCCTGCTTCTTGTGTTGCTCCCACCCTGCTTCCACTCTGCCGTCCACGCAAGACTCCCTCGAGCGCAACATGGCTCGAAGGCCCGCCAACGTGCCCCCTGGCGTGTGCGGCAGAACGCCAATGGCTTCCTGGTAGGTGGTCTGCAATGTTCTAGAACAGGTCCCCTCTAACTTTAGGTCGGGCACTGCTCCCTACAGGCGGATTTTGGGCGAAACGTTAGACATACACCATACCCAAAATTAAAATGATCCACAAAATACCCAAAACATCGTCCCCTGACTATTTTTAACTATTTTTGACTACTCCTCTTGTAGAGGGACAGGCCCGACTTACGTCGACCCGCGGATTTCCGCATGCATCGCCCTCCATCCCGAGACTACGATTCCGAACCCACGATTCCTCGTACATGGTTTGCCTGTGGAGGATACCAACTCAAAGCAGCTGCGAGTTGCGCAGGATACGAACCTCTCCTTATACGCAACGCGCCGAATCAGGAAGAAACTCCTGGCTGGGCCGCAGAGCTCGAGAGGGGTGCGCCACAAGATGCGGGAGGGGCCGCGTGAAGTACCCTACCCTGCCACTGAAGCCTCTGGTGGGGCTCCATGCAAGGCCACGGAACGTGTGAGGGGCGTGCCGGAACGGGCGGGGGGACCGCCTGGGACACCGCACCACTTCGGCATCGGGTGGAGCTCCATGCAGGTCCCCGGAATGTGTGAGGGTTGTGATGAGAAGAGCTGGGGACGAAGAGCGGTACACTGCCAGTGAGGCCCTCGATGGGGCTGCTTGTGGATCCACGACACGCGTGTCAGGGGTTCCGAGATGGGCAGGGGGGCGCTGTGGTACCGTGCCATTGAGGCCTTCGGTGGAACTCCGTGGGGCCACGAGGTGCGTGAGAAAACTGCCGGAATGAGCGGGGGGACGCGGTGGTACTGCGCAACTGAGGCCCTCTGTGGAGATCTCTGGGGGGCCACGAAACGTTTGAGAGGTGTGCCGAAATGGGCCGGGGAACGCCATGCGGTGCCATGTCACGGGTGCGCCGAAATGGGCGAGGTGACGCTGTGCGGTACCTTGCCAGTGAGACCTTCGGTGGAGCTCCCAGTGGAGAAGGAAACGCGTGAGGAAAAAAAGGAAATTGGTGAGGGACGCTGCGAGGCACCATGCCACTTACTCAAACCTGCGGCGAATTCGTCGTGGGCCAACATAGCGTGTGACGCGTGTGCCGAAACGGGCGAGTGGACGCGATGTAACACCTTGCCACTGAGGGCGGAACTCAATACGAGGCCACGAACCGCTTGAGGGGTGTGCCGGAGCTGCCATGAGGGGAGCAGGGGCGGGGGGGGAAAACAAGGGCTCCCAACTTCGCGCTTCGCGCTGCGCGAAGCGCGAAGTGTGAATAACTTCGCGTTCTCGCGCCGCCTCCCAGGTGAGAAGAAGAGGATGAGGAGGAATCGGAGCCGAACCACGACGCGCGAAAAACTTCGCGCCTTCGAGGACGCCCTTGAAAAAGGTGGGAGACGCGGGGCGCTGCTAGTTCGAAACAAGGGCCCAGCAACGAGGGCTCAAGCTATGGATCGGCGCTCCCGAGGCCACGACCCCCCGTGACTGTCTTGGCGAAGGACCCAACCAGGTGGGACGAAGGAGGAGGAGGAGGCGGAGGAGGAGGACCGGAGGAGCAGGAGGAGGCCATTTTGGCAATTTTTCCTTTCGGCCCCCTGGCGCCCTGCCCGCGGGCCAAACCAGGTGCCGTTGAAGCGCGGTCACGCCGCGCCACCGTCGCCGAAGGGCGACTCCCAGCCCGCCTCCACGCGCGCCTGCGCCCAGCGCGCCGCGGCGGCGGGCGAGGCGAAACCGTGGAGCGCGGCCGCCTGCCAGGCATCCGCCACGGCTGGCCGCAACCCCCAGCGCGGCGGCCGCCCAGCCCCAGCGGGGGCCCCAGCGCCGCCTGCCTCGCCAGCGCCTTCTCGGAGCACCACCGCGAGCCGCGCCTGCTCCTCGGCCGTGGGCGACTGCGGGGCGAGGAGCCGCGCCTTGCTCTTCGGCTCCTGGAGACATCAGGAGCCGCCTCGCCTCAGCCGCCCGCTCGCCAGGGGCAGGTCGCCCCTTGCAGCTGCCCAGCAGGCCAGTCCCTGCAGGAGGGGACCTCTTCCAGAAGCGGCAGCCACACTTCAGGCACCAGGCCATGGCCCCGTCGCCGTTTTCCAGGCGTGAGACGACGACGCAGCGCCCCCGCACCTCCCGCGCCACGCCTGCTCCTGCCACTTCTGCCTGCAGCTCGGGGGCGGCTGCCGCAGCGTCCTCGAGCTCGACGGCGGCGGCCTCGGCGGCGGCGTCGGGCGGCTGGCCGAGCTCCGCGCCTGCAGCAGCCCCAGCACCAGCAGCAGGAGACTGGCCATGCACGAGCTCGGCCTCGAGCGCCGCCGCCGCCACCTCCTCGTCGGCCTGCTCCGCCGCGCCCAGCGCCTCCTGCGGGATGTCGTAGACGAGGTCGGCCGTGCCTACCACCCCGTCGGAGCCCAGCTTCTCGTGGCCCACCATGGCGGCGGCCAGCTCGCCGATCCAGCGCCCGAGCTCCTCCGCACGCCAGGCGCACGCATGGAGGAACCAGACCAGCTCCTCGTCGATCGGCCACAGAGCGGCGCCCCTCTTGGCCCACAGGTCGGCTGCCCTGTTGCCCTTGATCATGAGCTCCTCCTCCCAGGTGGACGCCGCGGCGAGCGCCTTGTGCGCCTTGACCTTGCGCACTGTGGCCGTCAGGCCAGGCCCCGCCCACCACTCCTGCCACAGGTGGCGGCGCGCCTGCAGCGGCGCGAGGGTCTTGCCCCGCGAGAGCGCCAGGCCGACCGTGCCAGCACAGTCGCAGAAGACCTCGAGGCCCGCGCCGTCGTCCGACGCCTGCCAGTACTGGGCCAGCATGTGGAACGCGTAGTCCTCGCCGTCCCTGGCCTCCTGCTCGGGCCCGTACCTCCACGGGGCGATGCCGTGCATCCCGCCAATGGCTTCCCCGCCGAGGCCGATCTGCACCACAGCCCAACCAGCGCGGCGTGCCCCTCGCAGCGCGGGGAACCTGGCGCTGCCATCCACGAAGACCCTGCCCGCGAACTTCGAGCCAGGCGGCGCGCCGAACCAGCGCGGGGCCGCGAGCGCAGCGTCTGCCGCCGCGGGGAAGGCAAGGGCAGGGCCGGGGCAGAGCGCACGCGCGAAGAGCTCCGCCGCGGCATCCCCGCGCTGCGCCACCAGCCTCGCCCCTTCCAGCAGCTCGGGCGAGCACGCGTCCTTCCGCAGCGGCTGCCAGGCGTCGCACTCGAAGGCCCCGTGCCACAGCGTGCCTCTGCCTCCACACAGGCGGCAGCGGCCGTCGAGCGCCTTGCCCTCCCTCCAGAGCCGCTCCTGCGGCCAGTGGGAGCCACCGAGGACCGCCACGAGCGCACGCCCTTGACGGGCCTGCCAGAGCGGCGGCGGCCGCGCGGGCCCCTGGCGGCCAGAGCCAGGGGCGGCCTCAGCGGAGGCCTGCTCCTCGAGGCGGCGGCTCACGCGGAGGAGGCGCTCCAACCCCTTCCAGTTAACAGGCCATGCCCAGGCGCCAGGCCCGCGCAGCCGCTGCAGCGCGAGCACATCCGAGGCCAGCAGCGCCGACGTGCGCACCACCTGCACCAGCATGCCTGGCGAGAAGAACTCCAGCGAGAAGACCCGCGCCTGCCAATCGATGACGGCATTGAAGGCCACCATCTCGCAGCCGACCCGCCTCAGCGCCAATACGCACGCCTGTGCAGGGTCGCGGCACTGCCCCCAGGGGCGGCGCAGCTCCAGCAGGCCTTGCGCCCCGCGCCAGCACTCCTGCACCACCGCGGCACTGGGCAGGCCCGTCTCCAGCGTCATGCCCCAGGAGCGTGCCACCTCCACCGCGTGCACCACGAAGGGGTCTCGGTAGGCGGCGCCTTGCTGCGCCCGCAGCCTTAGGCCAACGCTGGCGCCCATGGGCAGCTTGCCCTCCGCGCGCATGGCGGCGACCCGCAGGCCGTGCAGCTTCCCGCAGGCGAGGCCCGTCACGGCGGAGCCCCAGACAGCGGTGGCAGTGGGGCTCCCCCTCTGGATGTGGCCCACCCGCGCACCAGCACCGCGCAGCAGGCGCGCCCGCGCACTGACCGCCGCCGCGCGGCCAAGCCGCGCGTCCTGCTCGCCCACGCGCCTCCAGCGCCCGTCGGTAGCGTCACCTCCCAGGCAGCGGGCACCTGCCCAGCGGGCCAGCGGCCCGTGCGCCCAGCAGCCGTCCAGCGCGTCGCCCAGGTCCTCGCTGTTCACCCGGTAGCCCGTCTTCGCCTCCGAGATGACCAGCCCCTTGGCGACCAGGCCCTCGATGAGGGCAGCCATGGCCCTGGGTAGCTGCTGCACCACCTGAGCCTCGCCACCGACCGCCTGCAGCAGCACGTCGTCCACGACGTTCTGCAGGCGAACCACAGGGTTCTCACGCATGATCTTCACGAAGAGGGTATGCACCAGCAGCTTGGCCAGTCCGACCGCCCCACTGCATCCCGCCACAATGGTGCCGTTCGCCTCGAACGGCTTGGAGACTGAGCCGCACCACGACACGCACCGCTGCGTACAGTACGACACGCAGTAGCACCGCAG